CAGCAGACAGTGACCGAGGACATTCCAGGCCTGTGAGAAACATGGGCCACACTGTGGAGCTTGCTACATAAGGGAATTATAAAGAACTGAGAGAGTTAACCTAGGCAGGGAGTCTAGGGCACTTTAAGGAGGAGGTGAACATTCTAGCTCATGCTTATCTTAAGCCTTGTGCAACAATGTATCTTACCCAAGAACTGGCTTTTCCTTAGGTCCAGAGCTGATAATTACACAGCCAGTGTCTTGCTCATGGAAATGCTTTTCTTGGGCTACATGTTACTGATTATAATTGTAACAAATCTTGTCTGGGAACCTGTTTCTCAAGACTTGTACCCCTGATTACACAGCAAAGCACAGTATATCTTGCCCTGAGACATTGCCCAGATATTGCCTGGAACCCATTCTCCCTGGCTAATCTTGTGCTTAAGTTATCTCAGGAAGTATGCCTTGGGAAAGGGTCTGGTGAATCTCTTACAACCTTGAGGTATTCTTTTTACCTATTCTCAGCAGCCAGTTCAGAAGTATATAATGCCCTGCTTAAACTAGTGAGGGTGGGTACTCTTCCTGCCCTTTCTGATGTCTACGTCAGAATCTTTCTCTGTCCCTTTACACTTTAAGAAAACTTTGCTACACGATCTGAGTAACAGATCCATCTTTGGTCCTAGAGTTAAATTTTCTCCTTCAGAGACCATGAACACCAACACTGTTCACTGTATGCGTAAGCTATCAGAACCTTCAAATCAACTTAAAGACGCACCAGTATCACAAAATAGGCTATCTGAGGGCTGAAAAGAAGAATTTCACTCCAATATTCAAGGCATGTTTGGCCTTTGTGTGCCCGATCTGTAATTACTGAAAAAGAGAAGTTTTGATTTACTCTGAGTATGTAATAACCTGGTTGAATGAAAACTTAGAGCTTCTGGGGTCTCACCTTTCCCCTACAAGGAAATATAAGAAAACTCTCAGAATGCTGAACAAAAGAAGATCCTAATAATATTATCTCAATGCTTTGATCTGTGTGAATTTATTATGTGAGTTAATGAATTGCCCCTGTGCATTAAGCCAGTTTCAACTGAGTTTCTCTCATTTGCAGTCTTAAATAATATATTAATAAAGCTAGAGAACAATGTGAGGTAACACATAAATTGTTTCTAAAATATGTTGTATGTGGAGTAAAGGATAAAGTATTGAAGACAAGGTAGAGATCAGTGTGGGTGTATCAGTTAGCTGTAGCTAAATAACAAATAACCCCAACAATTTGACATAAATAAGCATCTATGATCATGCTCCCTGGTCTGTATATTAGCTATAGCAGCTCTTCAGACTATAGATCTGTGCATCTGTGGGTCAGTTAAAGAAGCACATATACGTTGACCTGGTTTTTTCACTTAGAAATACTCAGGTGTATCCAAGGTAACAGGGACAACAATATTCATGTAAAGAAAAACTGCCAAGCTCTCTGGATCTATCTAGACCCTAAACAAGGAGCCTGTTAGTGTGATTCTCATTTCCTTTGGCTTGACATTACTGGTTAGAATACTTTCAAATGTGCTCCTTTTCTAATCTCTTCTGTCCTCCTTTATAATGACTTTCAAATTCATTTACTCACATGGCCTCACAATGAGTATTCATTACAATACTGTTTAAAATCAAGACTTTTTCTGCCTTTCTAACCCAATGCACTGGGTTTTTGCACTGAACAGCTTTTAAAATTCTTATCACAGTACTGCAGGCAGTTTGTAAGTTATATTCTATTAAAACGATTCCACCTAAGGTTGTCACAATTCAGAGATTACAGCTTCTGCAGGATGTTTTTTTTAGGAATATATTCATCTACTCACTTTGTCAGACACATCCCATGAGTCTGCATTTAACATCTCATCTGATAGCATAATTCAACAGAAAGGATAAAATAAGCAATATTTATTAATATTATGGAATAGATATTATGGGAATATTAGATAGGCACACATTGGCATCCCAAAGCAAACATTTCTGTGTTTCTAGCAGCACAAGCAAAGCCAACAAGGAAAAGGGGAGGAAGAGTGTTGAGGGGAAGAGGCATAAAATATGAAAACTTGGACTTGCCTGGCAGTCTAGTGGTTAAGAATCCACCTGCCAGTGCAGAAGACACAGGTTCGATCCCTGGTCCGGGAAGATCTCACATACCATGGCACAACGAAGCCAGGGCTCCCCAACTACTGGGCCCACACTCTGGAGCCTGGAAGCCACAACTACTGAGGCCACAGAGCACAACTACTGAAGCTTGCACACGCTACGGCTTGTGCTCTGCAACAAGAGAAGCCATGGCAATGAAAAGCCCACGCACCACGACTAGAAAGTAGCCCTCTCTCGCCGCAACTAGAGAAAGACCTCTTGCAGCAACAAAGACCCAGGGCCATCAAAAATACATAAGTAAATAAAAATTTTAAACATATGTAGTTTTAAAAAATGTGAGCCCGTCTCCTAATTATGTAACTTTGGTTATATATTTAGTTTTTCTCATGCAATCTTTCTTATCTCTTCTAAAAGGAATGCAAAATTCATTCTCACAGAAGTAATAAACACCATCTGAGTTGTTCTTGGAGTTTGAAAACATTACTACTTGATGAAATAGTGTAAGAAAATATATGTATGCCCTATGATACAGATATCCATAGATATCACATATCCACAGATCCACAGATAACCAGACAGAATTTTCTGAGGGTGTAGAGTTGGAAAACCACATTTGGACTTCTCAGGCCCAATATCTGGATGGGTAAGACCACAGTGGTCACCTGGCCACCTCTTGCAAGTATCTTGGTTGGTCCCCAGTACCTTCCCAACTAGAACTCCCCAGCTAATTTCTAAGGCTTTGCTGGTGACTCATCAGTAAAGAATCCGCCTGTCAATGCAGAGACAAGGATCCAATCCCTGGGTTGGGAAGATCCCCTGGAGAAGGAAATGGAAACTCATTCCGGCATTCTTGCCTGGGAAATCCCATGCACAGAGGATCCTGGAGGGCTATACTGTGTCGCAAATAGTTGGACACGACTTAGTGACTGAACTTAGCAACTGAACAGCAACAATACAACGGTCTTATTCCTTGAAAAAGATTTTCTAAAGCAGACAGACAAGGCAGGCGAAGACAAGATTCGGTGGGGTCAGCAAAAATACAGCCCAACTGAATAACTGCACCAGAAAAGGAAGCTCCAGCCAATCTCACATGCCACCATTTATTTGCCACTCACAAATTCATCCATTAGACAAGTATTCGCCAGCACTTCTTTGTGCTTTACATCATACAGCTCAAATATTTTAAGGACTGAAGAAGAAAAAGAAAATTTCAAGACTCTGTCACAACTACACAGCTTGGTTGTTGGAGCAGGAAAGCAGCCAGAGATGATGAATCAATGAAAATGTGCCACTGTATTCTAACACTTGATCTACAAAACAGATGATGGACTGGATTTGGCCCCTGGCTGTAGTTTTCTGATTCCTGATCTAAGAAAAAGGAGGTTTTTGCACTTCTTACATAAAGACTCCTGAACAGAAAAGGTGGTGATGAACAAAATCTGTATACAGATGGTGAACCCTGTGTCCTTTGTCCCCAAAATGGAAAGGAGGAAGTAAAACACAAAATTACAAGTGAGAGTCCTGGAAACTGAGTTAGACCAATACTAGTTTACAAATGAGCACTATAGATTCTGAACTCCATTTGGTTTGAAATGCAATTTTCCTTATGGGAACCGCCAACAAATAATTCTACAAGATCCACGGGGCTTATGAGAGTCTTGAAGGTGAGCCCCACCACCCACCCCCAGCCTCGATACCCGCACCCCCCAAACTGCTTTTATTTCAATCTCGGGTGCCTCCGGGCGGTCCCATATTCCTGGCAAGAAACTGGCTCTGTAACCTTGCCTTCCTCCGTAGGCCAACACCGGCTCTTGGGACCCCAGAGTTGTGAAGGGGGAAAAAAAAACTGGATTATCTAGGAGCGGCGGAGTGAGACCCCACAGTTGTATGGATGGACGTGATGAGATTTCGCTCCAACTTCCGTGATGACAGGTTGACTGAACTAGGAGCAGGGCAGGGACCCCTCGTGTGAGGTGAAGTAGAGCAAGAAGCCAGGACACGCCTACCCCAGGACCGCAGTTTGACTGACCCGGGGGCAGGAAGTTGGGAGACCACCCACAGAACCCTCCCCTTGGCCACGTCCCCTCGTCGACCGTGGGGCACCACTTTGAGATGCAGGAGCAGGCAAACTGGTCCCCAAAGCCCCAGAGCTCCAGACAGGAGCCATCCATTCAGGGAGGAGGACACGCCCCTGCGCCGGCGCCCCTGGGCGAACAGCCAGCTCGCCAGATCCCCCGCACAAACTCCAGGTTTGGGTTCCCTCCTCCCAGAAGCCCCTGAAGGTCGGATGCTTGCCGAGCCGCCAGCATCAGCGCCACAGCCGCCCGCGCTCGCCTTACCTCTGCTCTGGGGCGACCTCGGAACGCGTCCTGTGTCTCCCGCCGCCTCCCCGAGCCCCAGGGCGTCACTAGCAGTTGAGTCACCGGCCGTGCTGCTTCTGCGATGTCCGCGCCCGGCCCAGTCCGCCTCCCGTCGGAAGACCAATTCCCGCAAGCCCTGATCTCTAGAGCGGCTGCCAGTGACCCCCAACTCCCAGGAGCAGCTAGACTTCGCGCGCTCTGGACCAGACCGCCCCCGGACACGCCCAGACACGCCCAGGCCCCGCTCCACCCAACCCACCCAGGCCCCGCCCCCACCCAACCCACCCAGGCCCCGCCCCCACCCATCCCACCCAGGTCCCGCCCCCACCCATCCCACCCATCCCACCCAGGCCCCGCCCCCACCCAACCCACCCAGGCTCCGCCCCCACCTCGCTGGCCTCTCTCGTCGGTCCTGTCTCTAGTTCCATTCCACCAGCGACTCCCCATCCTCACCACTTTCGGACCCTACCCAACTCCCGACCTCCCACCCACACTACACACCTCGTCCCCGGTCCATCTCTGGAAATGCCTGTCCGCCACCCCTGTCCCTGTCCTTTACCTCCGCCCTGCCCCGCTGCCCAGGCCTTCCGTACCCACCTGGTAGGGAGGTGAGTACTAAAGTGCAGTGTGACTTAACACCCAGATCCTTCCAGGGTGAAGATAACCATGCTCTGGAGGACGTCTGGGAGGATGCACTCCTCCGACTGAGAAGTTTCATGTGGCCGGGCCCTTCCTTCAAGCTCTGGGTCTCAGCCCTAGAGAACTCTGCCCACATGATAAGGTGCAGAGCCCTATGGGGCTCCTGGGTACCGGATCCTTTCTGTGTCCCCGGTTTCTTTGATTATAGGAAACAGCCTTCATTTAGCCTCCGTGACCTTGCCTGAGTGCCAACCGGCAGATTTAAGCAGTTGTTATCAGGGAAGGGAGGGGATGCAAGACCAGGAGAAAGAATCAAGAGCAGCCTTGGGGCAAAGTCCTGTTTCCCTGTGAATGGATACACACAGCAATATCTTCGAGTTTATTTTACAGACACTGAAACCCCTTCCCGGACAAGGAAAATGCAACCCACTCCAGTATTCTTGCCTAGAGAATCCTGTGGACAGAGGAGCCTGCTGGGCTGCCGTATATGGGGTCACACAGAGTTGGACAGAACTGAAACGACTTAGCAGCAGCAGCGGCAGCAGCGGAAACCCCTTCCAGGTGGGAGAAGCTAAGGGTTAATGACCTTATGCTACCCACAAGCACGAAGACCCCAGACAGTTGGGCCTGAAGGTTGATGATGCTGACTCCCACTTACTTCATCACCAATTCATCAGAAGAGGGTCCATGAGCTGATCACGCCCTCTTTAAATAATTACTATAAAATTTGTCACTATTTTCCCCAAGTTGGGAGGCATGGATTTGAGGACATTACCCCTCTGTGTCCCCCTTTGCCTGGCAAAACAATAAAACTATCCTTTTCTACTTCATCCAAAACTCTCTCCAAGATTTAATTCCATACCTATGTACAGATAAGCTGGACCTTCTGCATCACGGATATGCAGGGACTCAGACCTGGAGCTGACCCTTCCACCTTCCCATGGCCCTGCATGGTGGGTTGTCAGCACACCCTAGCCCCCAATTTTTGGGTGATACCCTGGGAACAGGAAAAGCGGTAAGATTAAAAGCCCTATGTGGTTTATATAGCTGCGATTTTTATAGTTGCAAGATTTATAGTTGCAATTTTTTTCTGATTTTGCTTTGTTATTATTATTATCATTATTGAGGCAAACCATATAGAACATTATTATTATTAGTTGCTAGTGTACAACACAATAATTTGGCATTTGTATATAATGCATAATGATCACTGCTGTGTCTAGTTGACATATGTCACCATGCAGAGTTTCAATTGTGTGTGTGATAAGAACTCTCAAGATTTACTCTCTTAGAGTTGCATTTTTATTTTATATTTTATTGTATGTTTAGTCCTTGCCCCATGACTTGCAGTATTTTAGCTCTCCATCCAGGCATCGAACCCAGGCCCTAAGCAGTGAGAACTTGGAGTCCTAACCACCAGACTGCCGGGGAATTCCTTATGGCTGCATTTTTAAAAAGGAAAAACAAGGTGCAAAAAATAGGGACTCCATGTCACATCCGTATACGTACGTCACAGCAAAAACCTCGAACAGTAGTTCCTCAGAAAGAGAACAGGGATGTAGGGACAGGAGAAAACTTGGTTGGTTAATTCATGCTCTTTCTGTATTGTTTGATTTATTTTCTTAATATGCTGGTATTGTCTATTCAAAAAAAATGGTAAAAAGCAAACAAAAAGCATAAGTCGCTGCTGCTCTGACCTTGTCGTGGTGATGTCTGTGCAGTTAGGCTCCCCTCCCCCCCAACCCCTGCCCCGCTGTTTCTTCTCTCTGGTTTTCCCTGTGCTGCCCTATCTTAGGATGATGCTCCAGGTGGCATTCCCGTGCTCAACCTCATGGTGATTACAGAATACTGGTTAGAGTTCCCTGTGCTATGCAGAGCGCTGCCCCTTAAAAAGTATACAATGTGGGGGACTTCACTGGTAGTCCAGTGGTTAAGAGTTTGCCTTCCAATGCAGGGGACACAGGTTCAATCCCTGGTCTGGGAGGATCCCACATGCTGCAATTACTGAAGCCTGTACGGGAAGCCACTGAAATGAGAAGCCCTGCAGCCATTACATAAATAAAGTGAAAGTGTTAGTTGCTCAGTCTTGTCCAACTCATTGAGACCCTATGGACTGTAGCCTGCCAGGCTCCTCTGTCCATTGGATTCTCCAGGCAAGAATACTGGAGTAGGTTGCCATTCCCTTCTTCAGAGGATCTTCCCAACCCAGGGGTCGACTGCAGGCAGATTCTTTACCATCTGAGCCACCAGGGAAGCTTATTTTAAAAATAAGGTTTTAAAAAAAAATTTTTTTTTAAAGAGAAAGAAAAGAAAAGAATCTACCTTCCAATTCAGGGCACATGGGTTCCATCTGTGGTCAGGGAACTAAGATCTCACAGACTGCAGGGCAACTAAGCCCTTGGGCCATAACTAGAGAAAGCCCACTCTCTAAAATGAAGACCCATTGCAGCCAAAATTTAAAAAATAAAATGTATATAATATACTGTTTTGGGTGGCATGGTCTTGCTTTAGAACCCCAAGAGCCTGTGTTATGATTCTACCATTGGGACTTCCATAAGCTTCACCCTGCATCTTTCTCCCCATGGGTACCTTGGGCATTGTGGATCCATCTGTCTGATGCTTCACTCCAAACATTAGAACTGATTGCATCAAACCCTGGACTGACTGCAATGCCTCTTCCTGTTGTTGGCTCCACTCAAAGCTGGCAGCCTTGCACATCACTTGGTAGATGGTGGTGTTTCCTCTGGAACCCAGAGAGACCCACTAGACCCTGTGCTTTCCTCACTGTTGTATTCGATACAGCCCTTTGCCTTTCCCTTCAGAGAGGATATCTGCCTGCCTATGACCCCTAGATGTGGTACAGCATCCCTGCAATGTGGATCCCCAAATCTTGTCCTCTGGAGTACATGTGTCTTTCCAAGGCCTCCAGTAAAAGGCACTAGCCATGTTTTACTCATTCTGTCCAATCAGCACAATGTTATTGACATAGTGCACTAACATGATCATCAGTGGTGATAAAAGAAATGTTCACATATTGAGGTAAAGGGAAGTCATTCTGGCTTATTCATGAGTTAACTTGAATTTATGTTTGACTGCTCTGGTTCTTCGTTACAGCATAACGATTTTCTGTAGTTTCGGTGAGCAGGGTCTACCCTTCCTTGCAGTGCGTGGGCTTCTCATTGTGGTGGCATCTCTGGTGGCAGGGCACGGACTCTAGGGTGAGTGGGCTCAGTAGTTGTGGCTCCTGAACTTAGTTGTCCTGAGCATGTGGGATCTTTCCCAACTAGGGATCAAACCTCTGTCTCCTGCATTAGTAGATGGATTATTTTTTTTTCATTTATTTTTATTCGTTGGAGGCTAATTACTTTACAATATTGTAGTGGTTTTTGCCATACATTGACATGAATCAGCCATGGATTTACATGTGTTCCCCATCCCAATCCCCTCTCCCACCTCCCTCCCCATCCCATCCCTCTGGGTCTTCCCAGTGCACCAGCCCCGAGCACTTGTCTCATGCATCCAGCCTGGGCTGGTGATCTGTTTCACCCTTGATAGTATACTTGTTTCAATGCTATTCTCTCAGAACATCCCACCCTCACCTTCTCCCACAGAGTCCAGAAGTCTGTTCTGTACATCAGTGTCTCTTTTTCTGTTTTTCATATTGGGTTATCATTACCATCTTTTTAAATTCCATATATATGCATTAGTATACTGTATTGGTCTTTATCTTTCTGACTTACTTCACTCTGTATAATGGGCTCCAGTTTCATCCATCTCATTAGAACTGATTCAAATGAATTCTTTTTAATGGCTGAGTAATATTCCATTGTGTATATGTACCATAGCTTCCTTATCCATTCATCTACTGATGGGCAGGTAGATGGATTCTTAACCACTGGACCAGCAGGGAAGTCTCGAGTTAACTTGAATTTGATGCTAACTAAAACAGCCTATTTGTGGTCTATGAAACAGACATCATTCATCTGCTTTCATTATTAGAGAAAAGGACACATTGGCCAAAAGTAAAAATGTCCATGTTAAAAACAAAGATCAAGTGCCTCTCTTCCTGGGATGCCAATGCTGGTTTTCCTTTGATGGTAAGACTCCCTTCCCACATGCCAAAGCCATGCTGACTTGCTGTGTACATGTTGATCTGTGTGTGTGTGTTTCCTTGAACTGTATCCCTGACTTGTTAAATGTTCTTTGTTCTGACAAGATATAAAACTGTGTTGGAAACCATGATTCTCTAGAGCAGTTTCTCAGAGTCATCTGAGAAGATGATCCCTAGGGTATAGTCCTCAATTTGGCTCAGATAAAATTATTTTCTATTCTTTTTTGTTTCTTGCCTTTAAAAAAAAAATTTATTTGACTGTTCTGAGTTTTACTTGAGGCCGTAGGATCTTTAATCTTTGTTGCAGCATGCAAAATCTTTTAGTTGTGGCATGCAAACTCAGTTGTGGCATGTGGGATCTAGTTCCCTAACCAGGGATCGAAGCCGGGCCTCCTGCATTAAGAGCTTGGAGTCTGAGCCACTGGACCATCAGGGAAGTTCTTCTATCCTTATTATAGATTGTTTATTGACTATTTTGATTGATACTGTGATGTCCAAGGGAATCCAGAATGCTATAGATTGTATTTTGACAGCAAGAAGGAGTATTAATCTCGTCCTGAGACCACACTGTCATTTCATAGTTTTGTCTATCCACGTGAATATAAAGATATGTATGTGTGTGCATGTGTGCCTTTGTGTATGTTCTGAGTTGTCATGTAAAATCTATTTAATAATTGTGTTATGATTTTTAAAAAAGGTGATGCCATGCCTTTAGTGTCTGTACATAGCCATAGAGTCCCCTACATCCTTGGGTACACATATCTTTAACTTTCTATATTGTCACATTTCTCGCCAAAATGGTTGTACGGATTGGCATGCTGTACTTGAAGTGAGAAGGTTTCTTTATTCTCTGAGATG